CGGAGCCGCGGGCGCCGAGCGGCTGCAGCTGGCGGCGTGTGGCAGGGCTGGCAAGGTGGACTTTGCCCCTTCCAGATGACACATGAAAAATACCACATTTATGAGGGGTGTTGCCTAGAAGTGTCAGCCACCCCCTCAAATCCTGCAGCAGCCCTGGAGGCTGGAGCAACGGCATCACCCTGATGTCCAAGCCAAGGAGCTCCTCTGGTCACAAGTTCTGTGTTCAGCAGTGAGGCAGCGGTTGTGGCCAGTGCTACTGGTGCCCATGTGCTTCAGCACCGTGTGGGATTGTTCCTGGTCCTTGTGCACGATGCTCTGGCCTTCCCTCTGCTCCTGAGCTCTGCTCCCTGCTGCAAACACTCTCCCAGGCTCCCTGGAGCAGCCCAGGCTGGCAGGGCATCAGACATGTGCCTTTTGCCAAACTTCCCGTGCCCCAGTGCCTGGAGTTCCTGTGTCTTGGCAAGTCCCATCTCCCATCTTTGCTCCAGCTGCCACAGTGCCATCAGCCCCTTCTGCTGCGGCAGCCCCAGTGCTGTTCCAGCGCTGCTGCCTGTCAGGAGGCCTTGGTATGTCAAACCTGGTGTCCAGGGATGCACCAGAGAGCTGCAAGCCAGGATTCCCCGCCAGCCTCCCTCTTTCGGTCCTGCCTGTTGTGGTGTGGCTCCCTTGGAGCTATCCTGTGCTCCCAGCTCACTGCTGCTGGCCAAGATGGTTCCTCTAGTGCTCATCACTGGCAGCTCCTCTGTGCCACAGCTGGCTGGCTGCCAGTGCCCTCCCGGAGAGTTGTGCTGGGGCAGCAGATGAGCATCTTGCCAGGTATGGTCGTGGTGAGTTCAGGGTTTGCATCTTGGGCAGGAAAGGCTTCCAGAGCAATTTAATTTTTTTTTTCTGTGGAGAAGCAAAAGCTGAAAAATAGTCCTGCGTGAGAGTGAGGGGATTATTTTATTCGTGGTGAAGCTGAGAATAGGCTGTTTGATACAAGTATGGGTCGTATCTTCCAACTTAATAAAACACTCCAGTATCAGGTCCCGGTTGCCACAGCGAACAGGAGCTTTGGTGGCACATGTCAGCTCCTGGACGGTTGTTTCTGCCCCTCAACAGGCCTGGAGCACAGAACAGTGTTTCCATCCCACACACTTGTGGTGGGGCTCGGATGTCCCTGCGGGTGGCCGGGGCCACCTGCCTCTCTTCACAAGTTCTTTCTGGCCTAAGCCTCCAGACTTTGGGCCCTGGCTGGATGTGTTGCCCGTGCTGAAGCTGCCCCTGAGAAGCGTCTGGCTGGCTGGAGCTTCAGTGAGGTGAAGACTGAGGTGCTCTGGACATTGCCAGCCCCAGAGAAGGTGTTTTGGACATGAAACCCATTCTGTAGGTGAGAAGTTTCTTGGTTGTCTTCACCCCTGCACCACAAGGGAGGTCCTTGTGGTGTAGGGACCAAGGATGCTTCTCTGTCCCTGGGATGCCTTTTGGAGGCTGCAAATGAGCTTTTGTGGGAGCACCAAGGGACCCATCCCACCTGGGTCAGGGGCTGGCTGGGGTGGCCAACCACCCCTGTCCATGACCACCCTGGGGGTGGCAGGGCTGGTGTGGAGCTTGTTGGGGCAGCTGGGAGAGCATGTCCATGGAGGCAGGGCTGTTGCTGGTTTCCAAAACGGCCGTGGGTGAACGTGTGGGTGAAACCCACTCGTGAGTGATTGTGTGCTGACAGCCCACACTGATGAGCTGTATGAGGGTGCCTGTTCCTTCCAGACCTGAACTTATTTCCCCCCTTCTCTGGGGGGTCCTATCCTCAGACATGTTGGACATGGCCACGTCAGTCGGGTTTTCTGGTCCCTGCAGACTGCTCAGAGTGAGCTGCTCAGGTCTGGCTGCAGAAACACCTCTTGATTGTCACGAGTGTTGATCCTTCTCCTGAGCACTGTTGGCTGGGCTGTCTGTCGTGGGGAGACAGCAGCGTGAGAAGCGGCAGATGATTTCTTAAAATACAGAGTAAAAATATTCTGTATCCTTCTGCCTCTTCTGGACTGTGGCCAGTTCAACCTCTTCCATCTGGAGACTGGCAGATGTCTGCAGATTTCTTTTGTTCCTTGTGTTCACCAGAGAATGCCAGAGCTGCGAGCAGGCTGCAGTGGCCAGAGGAGAACACTGATTTCAGCCTCATCTTGGTGACCACGGTCCTTTGGTGTCCATCTGCCCCAGTTAGGGTTCAGCTGGGAGCTTGTTCTTGGTGCATCTCCAGTAAAATGGCACCTTGCAACCTGCTACTGACTTCTGCCAAAGCAGTCACCAACTGTGAAGGGTATAGTGGGACTGTGAGGGGTATTGCAGGACATTGGTGCATTCTTTGTGGTCACGTTTCAAAAACAAACACATCTCAGAGTCTCCTGTTGCCGAGTGACTTCCTGCTGTTGGTGGTTTCCCTCCAGGCACTTGACGTGGGCAGTGCTGGAGGATCTGGACTGCATAATGTGGGATGAGGATGGTACTGCCTATCCTTGGTGTTCCCTTGCTGTGTGAGCCCCGTGCCACAGCACACACAGGGTTTCCTGCAGCCATTTTTTGTGCGATGAACCAATGACACGTGTTTTATTCTCTTCTGTGTTTATTTTTTTTCTTGCTGCCCTCAGCGCTTCAGTGCTGTGGTGAGATCAGGCCGATGTTTCACAACCTGCCTCGTTCCTGACAGCAGTTTAACTTGGCACATAAACAGAAAGGGGCTGAGGGCACGTCAGATGTTTTCCCATCACCAGTGCCAGGGAACCTGGCAGCTCGTGGCCATGGGGTGCTGTGGTCTTCTGTACCTTGAGGTGCTCCAAGCGGGCTGTCCTGCCGTGCTGCTCTCCGTCCCAGCTGTGCAGAAGACTCACCACTTGCTCCCCAACATCTCTTGCCCTGAGTACCTACAGTGCTGCCCTACATTCTTCTGCTCCCATCCTGGCCTGCTCCTGGCTCTTTCCACATAGTCAGCAGTTAAGTCCTAAATCTCCAGCCCAGCAAATCCTCCAGCAGAGGCTGAGCAGCGATTAGAGCTGTGTTTGGAGCGGGTAATGCCATGTCTCTGTGCTTGTCTGCATCCCTGCTCAGGGTCAGGGTGTCCTTTCTAGACAGCACCCTCAGGCTTCAGCAAACCTTGAAACATTGATCAGTAATGGCCTTGGCTGATTGATTAGGAGTAGTGATTGCTAACCAGCTCTTCCACAGGAGCCCCCAGGTTCCCAGGGCTGCTCCACTCCTGCTAGCCTCCTCCACAGTGGCAGGCTGGAGCTGGCTGTGCCCTCATCTTGTTTACATCCTCCCTTCACAGGAACAAGGACACGACCAGGGACGAGTTTATCTTCTACTCCAAGCGCCTGATGAGGCTGTTGATTGAACATGCCCTTTCCTTCCTGCCACTGAAGGTGAGCATCTGCTTCTAGCCCATGGTCACATCCTCCCCCAGAGCTGTGCAGCCCCCTGACTGTGTTCCCACTCCCTCCACTTTTCTGCAGTCTGTCACTGTGGAGACGCCCCAGGGGACCATATACGAAGGGAAGCGGTTCCACAGGCAGAGGGTGAGACCTTGTCCCAGCCCCTTTCTACCCATCCTGGGTCAACGTGGGCTGGGAAGAGCCGGTGGCTCCTGGGGTCCATCTCAGTGTGGATGGGCAGCTCAAGGAGGCTGTCCCCACTCTTGTGGTGCCAGAGCCTCAGGAGCTTCACTTGGAGCAGCTGCTTTCCCTGCGCAGCACCAGGCAAACATTCCCATCCCTTCCCAGATCACTGGCGTGTCCATCCTGCGTGCAGGGGAGACAATGGAGCAGGCCCTGACTGCAGTCTGCAAGGACATCCGCCTGGGCAAGATCCTGATCCAGACCAACCATGACACGGGGGAGCCCGAGGTGAGGGTGGCTCCCACCCCAGTGCAGCCTCTGGCGCCGTGGGGCGGGTGAGGTGACCACCTGTCTGTCTTTCCCAGCTCCACTACCTGCGCCTGCCCAAGGAGATCAGCGAGGACTATGTCATCCTGATGGACAGCACTGTGTCCACTGGTGCCGCTGCTATGATGGCCGTGCGCGTCCTGCTGGTGAGGGCTTGGGGTGGGGTTGGTGGGTGGGGGACTCGCGGCTCTGGTGGCCGGGCTCTCAGGGCTCTGTGTCGTGCCACAGGACCACGATGTCCAGGAGGACAGGATCTTCCTGCTGTCACTGCTGATGGCGGAGATGGGGGTGCACTCGGTGGCCTACGCCTTTCCCCGCGTCCGCATCATCACCACGGCTGTGGACAAGCGGATCAACGAGGAGTTCCACATCATCCCAGGCATCGGTGAGGGTGGGCGTGGGGGTCTGTGCCCCATGGCCCCTCCCTCACCTGGTGCCCTGCGGCCACACTGAGGGGATCCTGGGTGTGGACATGGTAACAGGGGTGACGCTGCCATTGCCTCACTCTGTTCCCTTGTTCTGCAGGGAACTTTGGGGACAGATACTTTGGCACTGATGGCCCCTCTGCCTGGTGTGAGAGCGACGGCATGGACTGCTGAGCTGGCTGGCCACGGGACTACCAGCCAGGCTGGCTACAGGGCCAGCCCCCCTGCCTCTGCCCCCCGGAGGGGCGCCCAGCTGCCAGCCCGTGCCCACCCC